TGTGTTTTCCTCGAGGCACCAAGCTCCATGTGGGGATCCAGCAGACCTGCTATGATGGGCTTTAGAAATGGGAAATGCTTGTCCTGTTGCCATGGCAACCTCTCAGCGCCTACCTGCTCCTGCAGCAAGGCACATGGGAAGCCTCGCCTCTGCTGAACCTCATTTCTGACTGTCACTGGCTGACCATAGACCACCTTCCTACACACAAATGAGCTGGGGGCACAGCCCTGCACAGGAGCTGAGGGGGCAGATGCTGGTGAAAGAGTGGGGTGAGCAGGCAGCCAGCAAGGTGGGCAGGGGGACCAGGGCCAAGGGGCCTCCAGCTGTCTCCTCTTCACTTTATCTCTTCTTAATGGGATGCTTTCCATGTTCAGTGCCTTCCAGGAGCCACCCTTCCCCTCCACCCAGAGGAAAACACCCCTCAACAGTCCTCAGAGAGACCACTATGAGCAGGACAGTGAAGAGAAAGGGCTGGTGAGGCTGGGGCACGTGGGGGAGGGATGCAGTGACAGTCTCGCCCATCACGCGCTGTGCACAGGACTACAGACAATTCAAGGGGGTCTGACCCCCTTGATATAGAACACCCTCTGTGATGAGCTGGTGTCAGTGGCCTGATCTCAAATCATGGCTTCCTCTTTAATCAACCTCTGTGCCTCATTTCTCTCATCTCTGAGAAGGGGCAGAGCATTTCTCTACTGGGTTGATGCCTGTTACACTGCGGAGAACAGGCACGGCCTCGAGGGGCGTGTGTGAGTGGGTGGGGTGTGGAAGAGGACAGTGAGGGGCCGTGAAGGTCCAGCACAGAACCTGCCAAGTAAAGTGTCCAATGGGATCAGCTGCAGTTACGTCCTAAGGTTACCCAGAGAACAGCAGGCAGGGGAAGAAAAAGCACAGTCATCTGTGTTATGAAAAACAAGCAAAACAAAACAAATAGGAAATAACATGTGCTGTTGAGGATGTGGGAAAACAGGCACTGCCATGCACTGCTGCTGGGAATGTAAAATAGTGAGAAGAGCTGGGAGGCCCCTCAGTAAATTAAACACTGAATTACCACACGGCCCAGCAACTCCGCTCACAGAGAACTGACCACGTACGCCAGTGTTCACAGCAACCTATTCACAACAGGCCATCAATGAAAGACAGAATGTGGTATTCACACAGATAGTGGAATATTACTCAGCCATAAACAGGAATGATTACTGATTCCATAACATGAATCAACTTTGAAAACATTGTTAGGTGTCATCACGTCAACTACGACTCACAGGGACTCTATGAACAATAGCTATTGACCTTGCCCTATCTGACACCACTGTCATGATGTCCACCATGCTCAAGTTCATTGTTACAGTCACTTTATCATTTTGTTGGGGATCTTCCTCTCTTCCTCTCAGACCCTCACTTTTCCCAGCATGATGTCTTTTCATGACGTCAAGGACCGATGCTTCCTGACAACCTGCCCCAAATACATGAGACCCAGTTTGTCCATCTTTGCCTCTAAGGGTCATCGTCATCTCTCATCACACTTCCTGCAAGACTGATCTGTTTGTTCTTTTGACAGTCCACGAGCTATCCAGTACTCTTCACCAACACCACAGTTTATAGGTATCAATTGCTCTTCAGTCTTCCTTATTCATTATCCAGTTTTCAGATGCAAAGAAAGTAACTGAAAGGACCATGGCTTGGGTCAGGCGCACTTTAGTTTCTAAGCCAACATGCTCGCAGTGAGCACTTTAAAGGGACCCTTGATAGCAGCAGCCTCAAAAACATCACACTAAGTGAAACAGCTGTGGAAGGCCCTATAAAACGTGATTCCACTTATATAAAATGTACACAGTCCTTAGGGAGAGAAAGCAGATTGGTGGTCTCCAGGGATTGAAGTGAGGGGTGGGGCTGAGGAACAAGATAAACAATTGCTGTTCATCTACTGCCATCAACTCAATTCCAACCCACAACAACCCCACTGGAGAGCACAGAACCGCCCTGCAGGGTTTCCAAAGCTACCGTCTTTGTGGAAGCTGATTAGGGCTCCATTTCCCCACGGGGTGTCTGGTGGATTCAAACCATTGACCTTATGGTTATTTATTTCATTGCTGTTGAGTTGGGCCAAATCCTCACTGCTGCTGTTGCTATGTGCCACTGAGTCAGAACCAACTCACAGCTGACCCTCCAGCAGGTTTTCAGAGGCTGTAACTTGTAGAAAAGGAGACTATGAAGCAGCTGATGGATTTGAACTCACTGTCCTTACACTGGCAGTGAAATGCCTTACCCACTAGCGCTCCATTCTTAATGATTACTGAGGCGGCGGGGGTGGGGGGGGTGGATGGGTGGTGTCCATTGTTGGGGTAATGAAAATGTTTCGGAAATAGATCTAGGCAATGGCTACTTACTGTTATGAATGTATCCAATGCCTGTATTGGTTCTTAAAGTGGCTAATTTTATGGTATGTCAGTTTCATTTCAAGAAAAAGTATTTTAAAGATTGTAGATGTTATTGTTCCATATCTCTGTGTCCAGCTGGGGTCACATCCTTGTCCTGAGGTCAAGCCAGCCAGGCACTGTCACAAGCCATCTTTACAAGGGAACGGCAATGCCAGCAATGGAAATAATTAGGGGAGGGGGACAAGCTGTGGGAAATCAAGCAATGACAGTCCAAGGGGAGGAGGTCCCAAAGCAGCAGGGGCGCTTGTTAGAAATGCAGACCCCCAGGCCTTGCTGCAGACCCACCGGGTCAGTCGCTGTGGCCAGGTCAGCAATCAGGGTGATGCTGGCGCATGTCTGAGGGTGGCTGCACCAGATGAGTGACAGCCGCAAGGCACTGTGGAACGTCAGGAGGGCAGTGGTCAGTGTGTGCTGGAGGAGCATTAGAAAGGCCCCGGCTCACGTGACGGTGCAGGCAGGGCAGCTATGCCCATAATCCACCCACCCCTCCCCTCTCTAAGAGCCCCTGACCCCTTAGACCCCTTACCCTTCTCGGTTGATGTGTGGCAGGGGCTGCTTGGGTGTGTATCGGACCTTCCTGTGGAACTGCGTAAAGTCCAGCTTTTCCGGCTGCAGGTCCCAGGTGGCACCACTAGAGGGTGAAGAAGGGTAAGAAACACAAGGCCAGGAGGCTCCTGTTACTGATGGGACAGCATCCCATGCCGAACACTGAACTTGGGCCAGGAAGCAACCCTGGACAGAGGCAGGTAGGAGGGAGACAGGGCACCTACAAGGTCAGGGGGCAAGTGGGGCCCCTCCCTCAGAACAGAGCCTGAGGCCTCCGCCTGGTGCTCACAGGCACGAGCAGGCTCCTGAAACACCCTCGCCCTTTCTCAACCTTGCTGTCTGCAGTGCAAGCTTGGACAACAGAAGCTGGGCAGCATGCCTACTTGCCAATGGTCTCCTTGCCCCAAGGAATTTCAATCAGCATCTGCTCCTCTAGCCTAGCCCATTAGGAACCTTCTAGAGTCTGAATGACCCCACCATCTATCTTTGCCCCAGCCCCCTCCGTAGATAACCTCATTTTAACCTGCAGGTGGGGAACAGGGGTGCCCTGCAGCCAGTCACTGCCCTGGACTGGGGACACGGGATGGTCCTGAGGTTAGCCACTCCCTTCACATGTCCATCTCCCCGGGGCCCTTGCTATCTCTTCCCCTCAGCTTTAGCTGGTCTGTATATGTCTGTCTTGTCCCCCAAGCCTCCCTTCTCCTTGCCTTCCCATCCCTTCTCTTAGCTTACTGTGCCCCGTCTGATGTGCCCCCATCTTTCCTGGACCTCCCTGCCTCCCCTCCTCCTCCAGCTGTCTCCCTGCTTCATCCTCCATGCTTTACCTTCTTCCTCCTCCCGAATGCTCAGCCTCAAAGACTCCACGTGGCCCTTCACTGGGGCATTGGACAGTTAAGCTAGGGTCCCGGCCAGAGCTGTACCACAGCGAGGAAAAGCCCGGGGACTCACCTGAACGAGTCGAAGGTGTTGGCTGCCCAGATGTCCGTGCCCAGCATGTCTAGAGAGTTGTCTTTGCTGCCATTCTGAAGAGACAGGGGCAGAGGGGTGGCATTATTCATTTGGCATGGATTCTAGAAGAAGTGGGTGGATGGTCTTTCTCAGGCACACGCTCGAGGACTACAGGGGTCCACCCTGGCTGGTCACCGTAGGCAGCTAGGGGCTGGAATGAGGTGCTGGAGTAAGTGGGTCATGTGCGCATCTAGGGATAGGAGGGCTTTGTAGAGGACTCCCAGGTTCCCCAGTAGCCAAGGTCCTCATTTCTCTGATGTTTTACAGACACACGCATTCAGGTACAGAGACCACACAAGCCTCTTCTGCCCCAGCCCTCGGCTCTCTCTTCACCCAGGACAGGCTCTGTACAGCCTGCCAACCAGCCACCCTCAGTGCCAACTAGCCACCCTCAGTGCCAACCTGTGGCAATGGTTTCTCCCCAGAGAGGGGCTCCGTAAAGCCAGACAAGCTAGAGGGTTCACAGAGAATGGTAAACCCTCCTCCCCAGAATAAGGCAGAGCTGAGAGGGCCCCTGATGACCAAGTCACTATCTGCAATTCAATTTCTCCCTAATGTAACCTTTTCCCATCTGCACCCCGCAGGATTTTCTACATTTCTACCCCACACACAGGCAGAAGACGCCCCTTGATCCAGTTTCTACAACTGGATTTCTCAGCCCTTCAGCTGGAAATCCCTCGATGGTTTCTCCAGCCCCCTGCCTCAACTCCTGATGTCATCCATGCTTCCGTATCCCAACAGCTGGCTTCCATCACCACACTCTCCAAAACGCTCCAATACTTCCACATAAACAGGTGAACACAGCATGCTTCATGACCCACTGATGCAATTCCAGGTATTCGCACAACAGAGATGTGCACATCAGTCCACCAGAGACATGCCCTCGAAGGTACACTAACCCTACATATAATCACCCCAAACTAAACCATCAAAATGCCTGTCGACAGCTGACCAGATAAATAAAACAGGTCTGTTCACCTGTGGGGATATCACACAGTGAGAATAAACAAATGAGAACCAGATACAGCAACATAAATAAACCCCACAAATGCAATATGGACCTAAAGCATCTGGATGCAAGAGAACCCCTACAGTCTGGTTCAACTGATGCAGAGTCCAAGAACAGGTGAGCTAACTGACGTACGGTGGCAGAGTTCAGGAACTGGGGACATGGCCTGGTCATTTTCTGGGTTTTGATCTGGGAGCCGACTGTACAATTTTATCCCATTTGTGATAATCTGTTGAGCTGTGCATCTTGGATATACTTGAGACTTGGTTATGTTGACATTGTTACGGTCCCCTTGTACAATTCATAGCAACTCAACGAACCACAGATCTGAACCTTATCGTTCCCTGTTCCATCCTCATCATTTCTGACATACTTGAACCCACTGCAGTAGTCACTGTCAATCCGTTTGTTTGAGCATCTTCCTCTCTTTGGCCAACCCCCACTTTTCCAAGCATGAAGTCTCTCACCAAGGAATAGCCTCTTCTAGCTACATGCCCCAAGTATGTGAGATGAAGCGTTGTTATCTTTGCCTCAGAGGAACACTCAGGCAGTACTTTCTCCAAGACATATCTGTTGTTTTGGCAGTCCATGGGATATCCAATACTCTCCTCCAATACCACAGCTCAAAGGCATCAATTTTTATTCTGTCATCCTTATTCACCCTCCAGCTCTCAGATGTACAGTAAGTGACTGAATCAGACACACCTTAGTCCTCAAACTGACATTGTTGTTCCTCAGTAATTTGGAGAGGTCCCTAACCCTAACCAGAGACTTTCCCAGTACAATACGCCTCCTGATCTCCTGACTGCTGGTACTAAGGGTGTTGACTGTGGATCTAAGTAAACCACTGCAATGAAGCAAGCATTTAAATAATGCAAGTCACACAAAATTTGTTTGTGGTGTGTATGTGTCTCAGTGCACATGAAACTTATATTCACATTATACTGTCATCTTTGAAAGGTGCAGTAGCTAATTTGAAATATAGTGAGAATGTCTAACACATGGCAAAGAGACACAAAGTGAGCCCATGATGTTGGAAAAATGGTGTCAAGTGATATGCAGGGTTGCCACAAACCTTGCATTCTATAAAATAAGTATCTCTAAAGCACCATAAAGCAAACTGTAATAAGATGAGGTTATTTGTAGTTTCGTATGCTTTTCTCTGCATAGTATGAGTGGCTGGATGCCTGTAGCTCCCCCAGTCCTTACGGTTGGGTTCCTAATGTGGGGCCCAACTCCACTAATGTGGGTCTCATCAATCACCCCCAGGACTCATCATTTCTCAGATTCACTGGATCATGCACGGGACTGTTTTCTCTTTAGCATTTGCCAGGTGAAACACAGAGGATCAAAATGTGAGGAAGTCATAGAGTTTCTCTCCAGGAATGGGAGGCGACCACACACATGTAATACATGATTATAACACAGCATGTTGTGTGCTCAGAGTCAGGGGATGGTGGTAGGCCCAAAGCATGGGCAACTCGCCTGAAAAGGTCAGGTGAAGGAAAAGGAAGAAAGGAGATATTCAAGCAAGGTAGTATGTGGAAAGGAATCAGGGCAGACCATGAGGCATTTTGGGGAACTTCGAGGCCTGGGTTTGCAGAGAATGGGCTGGCTGGGGATTAGCTATCAAAGGACCCCAAGGCTGATGAGTTTGTGATCTCTAACATTACTCATCCTCAATCCTTGTAGGATTCTTGTTGTCGTTGTCATTGAGTTGACTATGACTCATAATGATTCTATAAACAATGCTTTGAACCTTGCCCTATCCTGGGTGGGACCTCTACGAATACCCTTCGGTGATGAACCATCCACTTTACTACTCAACTCAATTCATAGATGTTGAATCAGAACTCAATCATAGCTCACCCTTTACAGATTTTCAAAGGCTATAAATTGCATAGGAGGAGACTGCTTATCTTTTTTAAACTTAATTTAATTATTTTTTTGTGTGTGTATCATCAAATCAGATCTGACTGGTGCAGGAGGTGACTGTCCCTCCTTCTCCAGCAGAGCATCTGGTGGATTTGAACCATATACCTCTGGGATTGCAGTGCAGCTTCTTGCCTCTTTGTCCGAAGGAACCACTGGTAGATTGGAACCATCAGAGAGGCACCATCTTTCTGTTGGCCGTGTGACTCCCTGTGGATGCTGCCACCAGTGATTCCTCCATTTACCTACATACTCATTTCATGACGGTGGTACCTCACCTCCCTTCTTCCTGCAGTCACAGGTCCTTCTCATGTCCTCACAGTCACACAAGTGCTTACCAAGACCCAGGTTAGCTTGGGCTGCTCTTGGGCCTCCCAACTCCCACTTCCTCAGAAGCCAGCCTTTAACCTGTTGCCGCAAATGACAGCAAATGTGTTTCTAAGCACGGTCATCAATTTAAAAAGTGTGTGGCAACAGTGCCAATCCCTGTCCTCAGTGCCCGTCCAGCCCTACTCTGCTGCTGACCACGGCCAACATCAGCCTTGTGTCTGCTAAACCATACAAATGGACAATGCCAAGCCTCATGCTAACTCTCTCTCTCAACCGAATTGTCACTCGTGAATGAGAGTGACCCTGGCTTCTCTCCCTTGTTAAGTCTCCCTCCCCATTCACCCACACCCCAGGCTTGTGATTCAATGTCAATCATCAAATAGTTTGTAGCCTGGGCTCGGTGGCCAGGTCCTGAAAACTCTCTGTCACTGGCTTCTTAAAGGCATTCTCCAGTTTGCAATTCCTTGGCTGGTTCTGGTGTCTGTAGCTTTTCTCTGAGCACAGCCTCCTCTCAGCCCTGAGACCACCCAGCCCTGCCTCCCTCTAAGTTGCTGAAATGCCAAGGTTCCGAGAAGCCTTATTGGAAACAATTGCCCTTTTCAGTACATCATTTTTAGCACTAACACACTATGAGGCTCTTCACAACAGCCCCTTTCACTGGCAATTAGACGGCCCCACGCCCAGGTGAGCCACGCTGCTCTCAGAACAGAGCACAGAGGGTAATGGCAACTCAGACTGCATGGGAGAGGTGGAAGGAGGGCCTCCTGGGGGCAGGGGAACTGAGGTGGCCTCTGAGAGGCTCCCAGTCAGGTCACAGCTACCCCCAGCTCACAGGAAGGGCCTGGAAGGGCCAAGAATATGAGGCTGGAACAGCAGCACTGACCTAGAGCTCACCACATGCCGGGCACCAACACAGAGTCCTTCCCACTAGTTCTCAACCCTGCTGTCATTCTTGTCAGCCGCTGCTGAATCAGCTCAACTCACTGTATCCTCAAGCACCACAAAACAAAACGCTACCCAGGCTTGTGACACACCATAATCAGCTGTGGATCACACCACTGTTATCCGGGGGCCTTCACTAGCTAAGTTTTGAAAGCCAAGCTCCAAGCTTTCCTTCCTAATCCATCTCAGTCTGGAAGCTCTGTTGAAACTTGTTCAGCATTGTGGTCTTTTTAAAAATGGTTTTTCTAGTCACTGCCTTTGCCCCCTTTGGAGATGTGATCTCCAGCTGCCTCAATTGCAGACAGACGGTTCAGCATTCAATTGGAGTCTTCTACATCATCAATAGCTGTGGGGCCAACATAAGAGAGAGAGCTGGCTACACTGGAGAGACTGGAGTGAGTTACAGCCTGACAGAATCCTAGAGACGGAGCAAGAGGAGCTGACTTGGGTCTGCTATGAGACAAGGCTTGCTGGACAACTGAAGAAACTAGAGGTTTATTTGTGTTGCTGGACTGAACCTAGACCTTTCACTCTGTGATATCCTTTGCCTTCCTTTGCCACCTCTCCAACTTATTTCCTTAATAAAACCCACAACTTTTGCAATGAATATTGGATCCTGTGATGAGAAGAAGTATGTACAGAAGGATGGGGGCGGGTGGCTATTTCTTACCAAGATGACTTGTATATACTGGATATTATTGATGGGACAGTTCCCCTTGATGGAGTTGACAGAAGTCAGACTTGCCCTTCCTCATGATGTTAACTTTATTCCTTTTACAGGCATCATAACAACATGTCAGC